TTGAAAGATATTATTTTTTTCTATTATAAACAACTCTGGGGCAATGCATTAGGCTAAATTCCTTATTGCATAATTTCTGGCTGAGATGTATACATATGTATATATACATATTATATAATATATATAATATATATAATATGTATATGTATATATCACGATCACGATCACGATCATCCTGTTGTTCGTCGATTTCCTCGAGCAGGCACCAGTAACGTCTCCTTTTTCCTAGCCCTGAGATTTTAAAAGAGTCATTTCAATGTTCTTTCAGGATTAGGAGAATGAGACCCATCATTGTTACTGGTATTTGGCATATTGAGTACGACACAGGAAGTTTGCCAGATTCTGCTATGCGGGCAGGATACTTTTGGTAGCCTGCCAGGTTCTCCAAAGGAAAAATAAGATAATAAGATGTCGCGTGCTTCCGGGACCTGGGTTTTATAGTCTCTGCATCTTGGCCGTTGATGGGACCAACTTGGCGCTGGCAGCAGCTGGTGGATGTGACGCCTACCTACTGGAAGATGGGGGGTCTGGTTGGAGAAGGCCCAGTCCCAATCCAAGTAGGCTTGGAGACCTCTGCCCCGGGACCCACATGTCTGGGTTCCTCTGCCAGTTCTTTCATGCATGAGGCCCATCTGGACGTGTGGAGAGTGGTCCCAGCATGGTCGTGGCTGACTCTGGAGGTTCTCAGTTGCTGGGGCTCTTCTTGGGGCGGGGGGGGGGGGAGGAAGAAACTCAACGCTTTCCCCTCCAAGGGGCCCCGGTGAGGACAGCTATGCGAGGGGACAGGAGACTGCGCTGTTCTCCTCTGGGAGCTGGGTTTTATAGTCTCTGTGTCTTGGCCATTGATGGGACCAACCAGGTGCTGGAGGCAGCTGGTGGGTGTGACGCCTGCCTACTGGAAGATGGGGGGGTCTGGTTATAATATATATAATATGTATAATATGTATGTATAAAACATTTTAGTCAAAATATATTTTGCATACATTGTCTTAATGGATTTTATTACTAGTTATCATAAATTTAAACAAAAATTTTGCTTGTGTTTTTTGGCTTACTTATTTTTATATGAATAGCTTTATCTTGTTTGAAATAATCCTTCCTATTTCCTAGAATATTAATTTATTAAATTAAATATAACTATCACTATATCACTGTCACCCCGTAGTTCCTTGATTTATTCAAGCGGGCACCAGTAACATCTCTATTTCTCCTAGCCTGAGATTTTAGCAGCCTCTCCTTTTATTTACCAACAATTGGAGGCTTTTTTAGGGTTAGGGGAATGAGACCTGTTATTGTTATTGTTTTTGGCATATCAAATACGCCACGGGGAGCTTGCCAGACTCTGCCTGTGTGGGTGGGATACCCTTAGTAGCTTGCCAGGCTCTCTGAGAATATACATATTTCTCTCTATATTTTTTCTGCCTACTGTCTGAATCCCATCAAATATGGTGTGGTAATTATGGAAAATGGGTAGGAAGTGAACCGCCACCACACTCCAGGCTGCTTTCCAGACCACATGGCCACTTCGTGGCCGCACAACACATCATAGATAAAACATATTTCCTTATAATATTAATATTCAAGTTTTTAACTAAATAATTTTATGATGAAGCATATAGTTTTATACGTCAAATCTGCATATACTACATTACCACCTAAAGTCTAGGTTTGTCAACCATCATACAGTTGACTTTTTTGACCCATTTTACTCGCTCACTATCCCTTTTTCCCTCTGATATCTACCAATCTGCTGCCAAAACCTAAGATTCTGGGCTGGAGAGGTATTACAAAGGTTGAGGCACTTGCCTAGGATGTTGCTGTGTGACTGCAACCCTGCTTTGAACTGTGACACCACCTAGGTCCCCTGAGCACCTTCTGGAGTGCTCTCTGAGCACAGTCAGGAATAAAACTTGAACACAGAACCAGGAGCGGTTCTTGAGCACCATCTAGTGTATTTCTCCTTGCCTGCAAATCCCTAATGACATCACAACTCAAAATTCTGTTTGTTTGTTTTGTTTGTCTTCCACATATAAGTGAAATCACTAACATAGTATCTTTCACTATCTAATTTATTATTAGAATAATCCCTTTATGGTGTATTCATGTTGACAATGGCAATTTTTAATATATTTTTTATAGTTTAGTGGTATCCCATTGTGCACGTGTGCTCTCTCTACCTATTCATTTTCTGAGGGCCAGGTAGGTTGTTTTCATATCTTGGCGATTATAAATAGCATTTCATTGAATATAGGGGTGATTATAGTTTTCAAATTGGTTTTCTCACATTTTCAGATAAATGTAGAAAAGTGGTATAATTGAGTCAGACCATATTGATATTCTTAGATTTTTATAAGGGCTACATTCAGTGGTTTAGGTAGGGCTGGGCCTTTCCCTGGCAATGTCTATCCCAATGATGAGGGTATGACAGTTTAGTGCTTGGCCCTAGCTATTTAATGTTTGGTCCAATAGTGAGTAGTGGTTACAGGAGCCACTGTAGTAACATATGGGAACTGATAGGCTCCATCGAGCAATGCTCTGGGGTCCAGGTGATGCCAGGGATTAAACTCAGAGCCTAGTATATGTTAAGCATATGTTTACCACTTGACCATATCCCTAGTCCCATATTCTTAAGTTCTTGAGAAATCTCTATACCATTTTTCACAGTGGCTATAGTCATTTACGTTTTCTCCAACAGTGTATATGGGTTACCTATTCTTCATAAGCTTGCTGATCTTTTTTTTTTTAAATTGGCCAACCTCAGAGGTATAAGTCAATATCTCTTTTTAGATTTTTCTTGCATTTTATTGGTGGTGGAAAATGGTAAGGAGATTCTCGGTAAATATGATTTATTCAGCAGAATTTCAATTTTCAGAAGCAGCAAGGATAAATTATGCTATATAACACTGGAAATGGTGGGCATTTAAACTGTCCACTTACTAGTTCTCAGAGTAATAAAATTTTAGGAATTGGGATCAAACGCTTTGAATTGGAAATTGATGAAATATGTTCAGTACTTTCGGAGGAAAGGGTCTTAAAGTGTAGTCCAACACTGATTGCACTGATATCTTTGCTTACTTCTGTGGTCCTCAAATAAAAGCACTATCCAACAAGAGAGTTTTTGACATTGTTTAGAGCAACTGTCTCCTAATGTACAGAATAATCTATAATATTATAGACTGGCAGCAAACTTAATATTAGATCAAATGTAACATGGGTAAGAAAAATTCATGTAACTAATCACATAGATACTGAACATCTTTATAGTGATTAACACACTGTTTTATTATGAATAATTTTTTTTATTCTGTAAGTAAAAGAAAGATGAATGGATCTGGCATGAACATTTCTTAAACTTCACAACTGAAAATAAGTGTTAGAATTATTACCTTTAAAATCAATTGGGAAAAAGTTTTTAATTGTTTATATTTCATTCCTAGAGAGAGTGGTTTCTCAGGAAATTTCTCATATACTTGATTCATGTTTCTTATTTGAATGTAAAAGTAAATAAATAAACAAGATTACATAAAACCATTTATTTTATGGAACTTAGAGAAATCCTATCATTGTTGGGAGGATTGAGGCAGGGTTGGCAGAATGTAAGACATGTGCCTAACCCCTGTTCCATCTCTCTAGGCCTGAAGATTTTTTTTTTTTAATAAAAGGAAGTCCAATTGATGCTGTGCCTCACTTTGTAACAAACTTCTTGAAAGCTACATATTACATTAAACTTTATATCATATTTTTTATGTTTTGGATAATAGTATTTCTAAAATGGCAGCAAAACTAAAGATCACAAAGCAATAATACAAATAAAATATTTTACGAAATAGTTTTAATGGGACAGGAAATATGTTAAAGTTAAGGGATTTACCTTGCAAGTTGCTGACTCCAGCTCAATTCCTGGCACCACATATGATCCCCTTAGCACCATCAGAAGTGATTTTTGAACACTTCTATATTTTGAACCAGAATAGTCACTGAGCATTGTTGGCAGTTTTAAGAATGCTATGATAGTGCTCAAATAAGTCACAAAGTATAAATATTAAACCATAATGCTAGAGCTATTCTTTTCTTTTTTCTTTCTGGGTCATACCCAGAGATGCTCAGGGGTTACTCCTGGCTCTGCAATCAGGAATTACTCTTGGCGGAGCTTGGGAAACCATATGGGATGCCAGGGATTGAACGTGGGTCGGCTGCTTGTCAGGTATGCCTTAACAATACCAAGTCTTTGTTTAGTTTTGAGCTATACTATATTCTAGATAACTAAAATATCTAAGCTTGTCTTAATGTTCTGCTGAAGTTATTTTTATGTTTTCATAAAGACACATGCTATATTTTGGCAAGTTAGATTTCCTTCAAACTGGAATCTTTGTTACAAATCAATATGTTCCAGTAGGAAAACTATTGAGTTAGCATCAATTCTAAGTGTAGTTTATTGGTTTCCATTACATGTATATAAATTGAATTAGTTCAGTAATACAAAACAGATTCCTCTTCTTAGAAATTGAATTACATACTAGAAGGACCACAAAATTGAATTCATATTAAAAACAATTCAAAATTATATCATATTCTTATGTAAGACTAATGCATAATGTGGTAAATATTGTCCCACTGTCCCACTGTCCTGTCCCGTTGTTCATCGATTTGCTCTAGCAGGCCCAGTAACATCTCCATTGAGAGACTTGTTACTGTGCTTGGCATATCAAATACGTCATGGGTAGCTTGCCAGGCTTTGCCGTGCGGGCAAGATACTCTCGGTAGCTTGCTGGGCTCTTCGAGAGGGGCAGAGGAATTGAACTCAGGTCGGCCAAGTTGGCCGTGTGCAAGGCAAATGCCCTACTCTCTGTGCTATTGCTCCTTTTGGCTAAGATTAAGTGTGGTAAATATTATCACTGAAAATGATAATAGATATTATATAGAAGTTTATTAACCAAACAATAAACATATAGAAAATATGGTTTAATTAGGTGAATTGAGAAGTGAAATTTGGCTCTCATTTATATTTTGTGGATACCTTGTTCAATCCTGAAGATTTTCCTAAGGGCAGCCTTCATCTCCTTGTTTCTGAGGCTATATATTAGAGGATTACAGAGAGGTGTTATCACAGAATAAAACAATGTAATAATTTTTTGTGTTTTTACTGGGTGTCCTGATCCAGGGCTGATATACATCACCATAACTGACCCAAAAAACAGAATGACCACTGCCAGGTGAGAAGCACAAGTAGAGAAAGCTTTGCGTTTGCTCGCTGCTGAGGGCATTCTAAGCACAGACAGAATCACCAGAGCGTAGGAGCACAGAACAAAGAGAAAGGTACCAATCATGAAAATAACATTGAAAGTAGAATAAATGAATTGAGTGATGTTATCTTTAGAGCAGGATAACATCATCAGTGGTACAGGATCACATATAAAATGGTCAATGGTATTTGGGCCACAGAAGGGCAACCGTGAAATGAGAATGACTGGAGTTATAAAGAGCACGAAACCACTCGACCATCCCAAGATGACAAGACCAGTGTACAGCTGTTTAGTCATGATGCGCGGGTAATGCAGAGGACGGCAGATGGCAAGGTACCTGTCAAAGGCCATGATGCAAAGGTAGAAACCCTCATCGCACCCAAATGAAAAGAAGAAGTAGAACTGTGCAAAACAGCTTATAAAAGAAATGGACTTCCTGCTGGATAGGAAATTGGCCAGCATATTAGGGACAGTTGTGGTGACATAACCTATTTCCAGGAGAGAGAAATTCCCCAAGAAGATGTACATGGGTGTGTGAAGGCGTCGGTCCCACCTCACAGCACAGGCAATGGCAGCGTTCCCCATCAGGGTGAGGGTGTAGGTTACTGAGAAGAGCCCAAAGTAGAGGAGCTGCATTTCTGGGCTGGAAGGAAAGCCCAGGAGGATAAAGAAGCTGACAGAGGTGGTGGTGGTTTCTCTGCCGGACACATTCATTGGTCTGGAAGACACGGAGAGGACATTGATTATTGCACTTTAATTGGGAATGCGGTTCTTTCTGAAATCACCAGATTTCTTTAGATTTTATCCCAAAACAGCTTTGCTTAAAAATTAAATCAGTGACTTTTATGACACAGACTTTGAACATACATATACTGATGTCATGAATATTAAAAAATAGAGGTAACTAAAGTTGAGTGATTTTCCCCCCTTTTTTGTCTGTTTTTGAGCTGTGCTTAGAGCTTACTCCTTGTTCCTGGCAGTGCTCAGGGGACCATATGTGGTGCTAAGAGCGAAACCTTGGTCAGCCATGAGCAAAGTGCCCTACCTGCTGTAATATCCAGTTCTTTGAGAGTACACTTTGACCTTGTTAAGATTATTAGGCAAAGTCCTACTGTGCATATCTTTTTTATTATAAAAATTTGCCTATGAATATACCTGTTCATTTTTTTACTTGAACTGTTGAGGCTATGTTTCTGTCCAGGTGAACTTTCTTAAATAGTACCAGAATAGTACTAGACATGATATAAAATAGCACAGCGATAGGGCCTTTGCCCTGCATGCAGCCAACATGGCTGACCCCAATTCAATTCCTCTGCCCCTCTCGGAGAGCCCGGCAAGCTACCAAGAGTATCTCGCCCGCACGGCAGAGTCTGTGACGTATTCGATATGCCAGACACAGTAACAACAACGTCTCCAATGGAGACGTTACTGGACCCGCTCGAGCAAAAAATAATAATTAAATGAAATATCTAGTTATCTTAAAAGATCACATCTAATATAATTACACAACAGGGCACAATTTTATAATTTCTTCATTTCAGCTCATCTAGCTTATTCATTATGTTTCTGAGTGATATTAAAAAAGACCTCTATTATTCTTGAATATGTGTTTATGATTAATGTGTTTCAGTGTCATCATTTAGCATTAAGAACTGCTTTTAAAATAAGCAATTGGATATGTTATACACTTTGAGAAAGAATACTGTACTTTGTCTCTAAACTATCCCAATTGAGCATCTTGATATACTTCCATTTGGATATACACAGATATGCTTAATTAGTTCAATTGACTTTAGGGATACAACTGATTTGAGACACTGGCACTGGTTCAATGTGTCTGTACAATGTAACCATAGTTCATGTGGCTAACTCTTTAATGGATGGACAGGTAAAGTAAAGTAAAAGTAAAGGCCCTCCCGTTGATCATCGATTTGCTCGAGCGGGCCCAGTAACGTCTCCATTGGAGACTTTGTTGTTACTGTGTCTGGCATATCGAATACGTCACGGGGAGCTTGCCAGGCTCTGCCGTGTGGGCGAGTTACTCTCAGTAGCTTGCCGGGCTCTCCGAGAGGAGCGGAGGAATCGAACTCGGGTCGGCCATGTTGGCTGCGTGCAAGGCAAACGCCCTACCGCTGTGCTATGGACAGGTAATTTTTATTTTTTGCAAATGTTCTCTTTAAACTTTTTGTCTTCCCTCCCACAAGTGTTTTCATATTCCTTTACTTGCAACCCTTTCCACATGTTTGCCTTTATCCCTTTTAAATGGACCTTAGGTATCTTTTTACACTCCACTGTAATGTTCCACCTGACTTTTTCTATAGATAAATCTGAAACATGGGGTTTTTCACTTCTTTTACTCTGCTTAGTTCCACATTAAGATAATTGCTAGTAAACCATGACCAATTTCTTCTATTTCCATATGACCATATTTTTGGACTATTTTTAAGGTGAAGTAATTCTTCAAAAACATTTGTTAAGCATCTTTATTTTGAAAATAAAAGCAGGGCAGGAAAAACACCCCGGATAGTATCTGTAGCATTTGTAATCGAGCTGTTGACAGCCAAATCATAAAATATTTTTGCTGAATTCTTGTTTGTCCTTCCTGGAAATATTTTCACATTTTCAAAGATTATTTAATAAATCAAGGAAGGCTTTTCAAGGTGAGAATGTAGGACCATGACTTAGGAAATTTCTTTACATATTTATATAAAGGAAAGTATAACGGAATTCCTTGGTCAGACAGTGTATTTCACACTCTTTCATCTAACTATTGAAATGATAGCTAAACATAAATGACTACTGCTTATAGATTCTTACTGATCCTAGGACTGTATAAAAGTGAGTGCATAGTTTATAAATTTCATAAAACAGTCAATTATATGAATTTTAAAGAGAATTAATTTATATGGGTCTTTGTGGGGCAATTATATCTATCAATATCTTGAATTTTATTTTTATATTTTAATAAACATCTTTTGGTTCTTTAGACATCCTTGTGTTCTATTTATTCAGGGCATTTTTTTCTTTTTTAAAATAAATAACTGTGAGATACAGTTACAGACTTAAAAACTTTCATGATTACATTTCACTCATACAATGATCGAGTACCCATCGCTCCACCGGTGCCCATTCTCCACCACAAATGTTCCCAATATCCCTCTTGCCACCCTCCCCAACCCCCCGCCTCTGTGGTAGGCACATTCCCTTTTACTCTCTTTCTCCTTTTGGGTGTTATGTTTCAGGGCATTTCTTTAAGCCTTCTCAGATAATCTATTTTATTTAGAGGTCAGAGGCAAAAGACTTATTTCAAATAACTGTTGGTACTCACCTTTTTTGTTTTTGAATATTTCCTGGAGATAGCAACTGTCAGTTTAGTTTAAATCCTGCATACAAATGCAACAAAAATAATTACCATAACCCCAAACATGCTGAATATATTGTTATTTACAGAATTATTAATACACAGTATAAAAGGTCTCATTAATATGAAGAAAGTGAAACGCAATACACAAATTTGGAAGAAAATATATTATGGAAAAGATCTTTAATATTCCTACTATTTGCATAATGCATTTGCCATATACTTATTTTATAAAGGATGGGTTGGAATGAGAGATCTCAGCAATACAGATCATTTGCCCCAAAGAATTGGCTTCCATAGAACCAACCAGAACCAATTGGTTTCCATCATAGAACATGTGCAAACTTTTTTTTTTCTATGTCAATACTTTCTAGGGCTAGAGAGATAGCACAGCAGGTAGGGCGTTTGCCTTGCACGTGGCTCACCTGGTTTGATTCCTCCACCCCTCCAGGAGAGCCTGGCAAGCTACCAAGAGTATCTCGCCCGCCCGGCAAAGCCTGGCAAGCTACCCGTGATGTATTCAATATGCCAAAAACAGTAACAATAATTCTCACAATTTGTTGTGAGAATTTACTGGTGCCTGCTTGAGCAAATCGATGAAAAATGCGAGGACAGTGCTACGTGCAGTGCTACTATTTACCAAAGAGATAAAAAAGATGTATCATTCTCCAGTGATTTAACAGCTAATACATATCTTCACTTAAGATCCTAAGAGTCTTTGTATATGCATCTAGTTTTTGAGGGACGGGGGATTGAAGGTGGCTTGAACCACACCTGGTGGTATTCAGAGGTTATCTCTGGTAGTACTTGAGGGACAGTATGTAGACAGGGATTGAACTGGGGTCAGCTGCATACAAGGCAAGTAAGTTAACCCGTGAGTTGTCTTTCTAGACCTATACATCTCTTTGTCATCTGTCAAAGGCATATGTAAATTTATTTAAAATATTCTTCAGATCTCAGGGAAACAAGAAAATTAATATTTTTAGTTTAGTTTTTTAAGACCAATGTTTCATTCAAATAATTGTTTTCTCATCGGCAAAAATAATTACATTTGCAAAAGTTCAGTAAATGTGGCTCATTATACTGAACAGTTCATACTCACTCTTTGAATGAATGCTGAGAAAGTTAGAGATGGAAGAAAAATTATTGCTCCACAGATCACAAAAACATATGGAAGAATTAAAAAATATTGGATGGTCCAGTTTGTAATCTCTTGTGAATTGCCAAGAATGAACACTAAAAGTTGCCATTCTTTTCCAACTCAAAAGCACATGTTTGTGGTACATACGAGCCAAGATGAAAATGTTTTATATATGTATATATTCGCTTGCATCATCGTTTTGTGACTTGAGACACTCTCCCTCTGTATTTATTGATTTAATGTTTATCCTTTATTATTTTTGGAATTTTTTACTTGCAAACACCAAAGTTTATTATTATTCCCCAAAGAATAAGGGAGAAGTAGAAGGAGACTTTTATTTTTGTCTTTCTTTTGTGTCCTTGTTTTGTAGATGGTTTCTGGGGAATAATTAAGAGCTATGGTGATAAGAATTGTATAATAACTACAATGGGAACTCTGCCATTAGTTTCCCTATATTTATCTTGAAGAAGAAAAAATTATTCTTTATTCGTAAAATATCTTTAGCTCATATAGTTTATTTAGTGAATTAAATTTAATATATAGCATGAATAATTGTCTTTACACATGTTCAATAAAGTTATTCTGCTTTTAATTATCCAGCAAATATTCATTGAATGTATACTAGGTACAACATCTTTGTCAAGACCCAACACTATTTTAGAGATATGCCAAAAAAATAAACAGTTTTCTCAGTCTCTACTTTGAAAGAAAGGAAAATATAAGTAATTATACAGGGTATTAGAAGTAAATATGGAAAAATTAAGCAAGGATTTGTTAGAAAGAGAAATTTTCACTATAAATCGGGAAATAAGGAAAACCTAAGAGAAAAGGTGATATTTAAGTAGTGTTTTAAAATGAGAGAAAAACCGTTGCCTATTTGGGGAAGTGCTTTGCAAGGCAAAAAATAGTCAATCATCAATGATGTGGATGAACCTAGGGGACATTGAGGAATCTTGTGCTTGGTAAAGTAAGTCAAACTGAGAAAGAAATTTTACATGTTTCCAGTCATAAGCAAAAATCTAAAGAATAAAATAAAATAAAAGTGAAGCACATGGAACCCAAGAGAACAGTGGTTCCCAGGAGCCAGAAAAGTACAGAAAAATAAGGAACATGTTGATCAGAGGATGCAAAGTTGAAAATTCAGAGAATGAATGTCTAGAGATTTAATGTTGAATATGATGACCAAGCTTAATACTACTGTATTGAATACTA